TAAAAAAAGCTAAAGTAATAGAGAAGTGTATAATAATAAGACTAAAGAATATAATATAGAGTTTATTACAGAACAACTTAAAGAAGAATTTGTTAAAACAAAATTATTCACAAAAAAAGAAACAAGAGCGCAAATAAGGGCATTGCACAAGAAACAACAGCAATATAACGAAGGTATCAGTCAGTATACAGGACTCGAACTTAAAACAAGAAACAAAGTTGGTTTTTTAAAAGCAATGAAAAAGGAAGAAAACCCAGTTGAATATATCATATATAGAGAAATAAAAAACATTATAACAAAACTAAGAACAGCTAATGTGATAAGAGAGGTAGAAGAGATTAAAAAGAAACAGGTTGCTAAAATTAAAGAGTTAAAAAAAAGTAAGTTGCCAAGATAAAGTCAAAAATTAAATCTGGCTGAAACAAGAGACTCGAAGAGTAAAGGAGAAATCAACAAAAATAGTACAACAAGATAGTTATAAACTTATTAGCGCAACAATTTAAATAATCAGTCCAATATATCGCAGAAAACCAACACAAAGAAAAAGAAAGAGTCAAAGAGGAAAAGATAAAATTGCAAGTCTGAAAAAAGCCAAAATGACAAAAAGAATTTTGTACAAAAAAGAAAAACAAATTGCTAGCAATATAAAAACAAAAATAGAACTAGTTTGGTACAAGAGACTAGATGAACAAAGAAAAAAAAGACAAAAGCAGCAAAACAAAACAGCACTCAAGTTATTAATATAGCAATTCTTAGTAACTATTAGAGTATTCAAAATAGAACATTTTTTAAAAAAAGAAACAATTAAGATAGAAGAATGGTGATCACAATCCTAGCAAAAAGAAGCCTCAAAACATTGTCAACAAAAAACTTATAAAGGAAAAGAAATATCAAAGCAAAAAATCAAGGATTAAAGTAAAGAAGGCCAAATAGAAAGAAAGCTCTGAATAAGATTTTAGAAGAATAATATCAAGAACAACCATGTTAGAAAAGGAAAAATTAGAAAATATACAAGCCAAGAATGTATAGAGAAATATAATAGACTGGGCAATAGAAGCTTTGTACTTGTCAAGTGAGAAAAATATCTAGATCAATAGTAAAAATTAAAAAAAAAAAGACCTACTAATGAATTGGATTCAACAAATCAAATCTTATGCAGCTGAGAGCACAGTTAAAAAAGACAGAATCCAAGTTATTATAGCAGAAAAAATAACAAAAGTTATAAATTGAAGAAAGAAAAAGAAAGACATACTTTTGAATATAACAGAAAGAATATTATTAGAAGTATTAGAAGATTGAGAAGCCTATATTGAATTACAAGAGAAGTTTTTGAAAAAAAAGCTGCACCCAAAAAGAAAAAGAAAAGGAAAAGATACTCAGGTTAGCAGAAGAAAGAAAAGGAAAAAAAGAAGACTCAAACAAAGTAAACTTGCAACAACTACTAAAAAATTAGAAAGAGCTCTAGAGAATACTAAAAAAGAGAAGACTCTTGTAAAGACCTCAGAACAGAAGAAAAGATCTAATAATAGAGCTTCAGAACAGAAAGGAAAAACAAAAAGAAGAACTTAAGAAGACTTCTAAGAGCCAGGTCTCTGATCAGAAAAGACCAAACGAATTGGAAGAAATGAAAACAGAAGTGAAGATGCAAGAATATTCAAAAAAATATTGGCAATAACCCTTTAGAAGATAAAGATATAGATTTGGTTATTAATAGAGAGATAAGATTAGATTATTGTTATAGAAAGGAGGATAATTTAGAAGGAAAAAATTGCCAATTTAATATAGATAAAATTTCTTTTAATTTGAAACTATTTTATTATAGTTTTATCGGCTAGCTTGATGTAGCTTTCCAGTATAGGCAATTGCCTTAACCAGTGAGACAGACCACACTTGGGTGCCTGTAGAAGAAGCTGAGTGATGTCAGATCTGTAACTTAGATAGTTTAGAATATAATTATATTTGCTTTGATTTAATAAAGATACTGGCGAGGCTATCAATATATTAAAAAAAAAAAAAAAATTAATCTACTTGAGATAGGTTTAAACAGGACCTGAATATATTTTTAGCAAAATAGAGCCAATTTTATTATTTTTTACTTACAAGCTGATTGGCTAAAAATAAAGATTATTACTGTAAAAGAAAACCAAATCACATGAGAGTGCATATTTTTGTATAATATTTTCTTTTTTGGTAAGATTTTTATTCCCCTACTAATAACTTTATCTATACCTTAGCTGATAATATCAGAAAATTTTCTATATAAACTTTATCTAGTATACATGACAAGAACATCTAATATAAGTTTTCGGGGTTTTGTTTAGACTGCTATTTTTTGTATTTTTTAGATTTTTTATTTTATTTCTTGTTTTGCTTTGCCAGCAATTATCAAAATTCTATAATTTGATTGGCAAGATATCACGTGATTCTGCTTCATTTTAGATCTTCCCCAGCATCGCCACCAAAATTTTTTCGATCACGTGATATCGACAAACTTCTTTAGAGTTCGTTTATGTTAGGATCAGGGTCAGATTTAGGGTTAGAAAGGTCTAGCATATTGTAAAACTATCCAAGGAACTTTTTTTGTTAGAGCATGAAAGGCGGTTTCTTAAGCAAATTTTTGAGTAAAGAGGGATTTTTTGAAAGCGAACGTTTTGTTTTGATCTTCATGATCGTGTCACGTTACACCAAGGCGTGATTTTTATTGGATAATTCACGTGATCGAAAAAATTTTACTAGTAATTTTGGTGGCGATCCTGGGGAAGTTTCATTTTAGACGACCCTTAATTAATTGATTCTTCATTAACGGATTCTTGATTATGAATCTTATATTTTCTATAGACTAACTTTCTTCTAATTAGCCAATCACTTATAATTGTATTTATACAGTTTAGAGCATTTTTTAAGAATGTAACATTTCACAAGCAAAAAAAAAAATTAAACCCGTCTCTATCTTCAGTTATTATGCAAAAGAATCTAAAAAGATCCACAATCTAGAGTTATTTTGCTTAGAAGATAAAATTTCTACATATATTATAACTATAAAACTAATTACTAAATGGTCGAATATATTTGACTTAATAAAAAAAAATTAATAAAGCAAACTTCTTTTTTAAGAATAGATAAAACGTTTTGTTGAGCTATGTAATAATGTTTTATAACATAGTGTAAAGAACTTTTAATGTGTAAAAATGTAGTTGTAAGAAATAAAAACATTTGAAAATTTTAGAAATTACAACGAACTTTATATTGTTTAATGGATTTTTTCACAATAACACAATAAGCGTTAATTATAATACAGTAAGCTATAAATATTTAAGGTCTCATATTACTTCGGTAAAATAAATGAAATAGGCTTTTAGGAAAACATATATGTTTAAAGAAATATATTTGATCCTATTCGCTCTTTTTATTATAGCGGTAGCTAATTTCACAAGTATAATTTTATTGGCTGATTGTCACATGGTTGCGCATATGACCAATCATAAAGCAACATTCAATTTCATGTGATCTACCAATCCACGAGAAAGTTATAAAATCAAGAATACCAAACATGTAATCTTTGATTATGTAATTTTCTCTGCGAATTCTCTAATATCTTATAATTTACGGAGCTCTAAATTGCCCGGATCGAAGATCGTTTCTGCACCATTAATCTACCTTGAAAAGATACGAATCAATTATAGTGTCCAATAAAAATTTCATTGTCCAATTAAATTATTTGGACAAATTGGATGTTGTCCAAATGTTCAATGCCCAAATTGTCCAAATGTTCAATGCATCTCTGTAGAAAAATATATAAAACATAATAAAAACATACGTATGACAGGTGCCAAACCGCCATAGGTGCGTTTTATAATAAATGTTTCTAAACTTTAAGGAAACAGGTTTAACTATAAAATGCCACCATTTTACTACGTAGTTTAATCAAAAATTCACTAATTTTATATTTTTATTTTTTTTATGCCAAATATATGGAGGGTACGTACGCAGGTAATTATAAGGTATAAAAAAACTTCCGTAATAATGGTAATGTAACATTACATTTGAAGAACAATAGAGCGATAAATCCGCAACCAATCAGAATATGACAAATAAAATCTGATGAACTTTGTTTATAAAGTTGGAAATTTTTCGTGTTTTTTGAAAAATTTTCCGATGGTAGAATACACTTTTACAAAACAAATCTTTGCATTCCTATTTCCTGGAAGCCCCCGTGTTAATTCTATCCTTGCTACATTTTATATTTCATCTATACCAAATTTTATTCTTTACTTTGTTCCACCGGATATTAAACCATCCTCATTAAATTCGCTTGTTAGTTTCGCAGTTGGTGGTCTTTTAGGTGATGTGTTTCTTCACTTATTACCACATTCATTTTTAGGTGAAACCTTTGATGATGAAGTTCATTTTGTTCAAGTTGACAAGCAAAAAAATGTAATTATTGGTTTAGCAATATTTGTTGGCTTTACCACATTTTTTTTTATTGATAAATTGATGCGTGTGGTAAATGGAGGAGAAGGTGGTCATTCACACAATCATAAGGAAGATATCCATAATGATAATCATGACCATAAAGATTCTGGATCAAGTACATCTTTTAATTCAAGTAATAATGATTCAACACTTCGTCAACGAAAATCTACCATCGAGGAAGAGATTACGGACGACAAACCTGAGACTAGGACACCATCTAACAGTATTAAATTATCAGCTTATCTAAACTTATTTGCAGATTTTACACATAACTTTACAGATGGACTTGCCATGGCAGCATCATTTTATTCATCACCCAGTATAGGTGCAACGACTACAGTTGCAGTATTTTTTCATGAGATTCCACATGAAATAGGAGATTATGCTATTTTGATACAAAGTGGGTTCACCAAAAGACGTGCAATGCTTTCACAATTCATAACAGCTATTGGGGCATTTCTTGGAACTATTGCTGGAATTATGATTGAAGAGCTTGGCCGTGGACATCATGAAACAGAAAATTTACCATTATTCGCAACAGGAAATTCATCATTACCCGTAACAGAAGATTTATCATTATTTAATGAGTCTGGGATATGGGGAACTGGGGTTGTTCTAGGTGATTTAGTTATTCCGTTTACTGCAGGTGGATTTCTATATATCGCAACTGTTGGTGTGATCCCTGAATTACTAGAAGTTACAGGAAAATTTGTTAAGGATCTCAGACAAGCAAGTATCGAGTTTTTGACAATGTTTATCGGTGTTGGGATGATGGCGATTATTGCATGGAATGAGTGATAGTTAAATGAAAGAATTGATTGTCAATATAAAGGATGTT